GGGGGGGGGGGCACCTGTCACCACTACATAGTGTACATGTATGTGTCTCTCGGCAGCAGCAGCAGCTCTACCTCTTTTAGTGTCAAAACATCACCTACCTTAACCTTGCAGCCAAGGTACCGCTGTACCTGCGCATCCCAGGCAAAGAACTTTGAAGAAGAGAGAGAAAATTCCCCTAGATTACCTCATTAGTTCCATTTGCAACGTCTAAGATAACCACCCGCTGCTAAAAACCTAGACGGTTTCCGGCCAACAGTTCAACGCTTGAGTTCATGTAATCAACATGAAGACTGTCACATGTTTTTTCCCCCCCTTTAACACAGAGGCATATCAATAATTAGGGACCAAAGCCAGAATACACCGGATACACAGCACTTTAATACAAGTCATGTTTTGCAGCAGTAAACACAAATTGCACCTGCAGCAGCCGCTTTCTACTAACCGAACAAATTGACAACCAACAATCACTGCTCACATATATAGTACTTCCTTATTTGCATTATTCGAATATGCTTCTATTAGGTGCCGTCTCAAAGTCGTGTAATAACATGCATCGTCAAGTGCTGTCCGTCCCTATATCGTGGCACTGTAACAACCATCGTACGCCTTCCAATGTCAAAAAAAATGAATACAGCATGCATCAGTATGATCCTTCCCTCCAACAATACCGTAGCCTCCTCTCCCCCAACGTCTATGCCAGAATGTGATCGCGCCGGCTGCGAAAATGAATTCCAAACTCCCCAGAAAGGTAGATGGTCGAAAGATTAAATATACACGTAAAGATGTAAGACAGCCGGGGGAGGGTTGAATCGTTTCGACCACCTGGTAAACCATGTCCCACGCAGGCTTCCACAGGCTGCGATCATACACCCACATCAAATCGTGAGGTGTTCATATCGTGCGCTTGTCAATACAGTCAAACCCCGCTTTTTTGGTTCCTGGATAAAATTACGCCGGAAAAGAAATCTTGATCTTATTCTAGCAAGTAATTCTAGAATCGACAACAGCACTCTCCTCTGTCTCTCCCTCTCCTCGTACTGTCTCCGCGCCAGGTCTCCCGAGGTGACCTGACAAGTCAAACGCTCTGAAGTCGAAATGCTTACGACTTGACGGCATCTCTGCTGCTCTGAGAGCTGGCGCTCATGGGAGGCTGCGTGGTGGGCAGGACAGACTTGCTGACCTGCGACTGGCGCACCTTGGCCCAAGCGTACACAATACCAGAGACGAAACCAATGAAGATGGCAGAGACAGAACCGACAGTCACGGGAGCCGAGAAGAAGATCAAACCAGACACAGCAATGGGGAGCTTGTTCAGAGCGCCAACCATCGAGTATGTGGTCGAAGAGGTAACCCGAATGCACCAGGCGGAGCAGTACGAGATGAAGATGGCAGCCATTCCAGAGTAGATCATACCAATCATCAGGGCGTTACGGCTCTCCACGGGGAAGTTCTTCTGGAAGTTGGCGCTGGACCAGTCCTCGGCGATAAGGGAGCCAAAGAGGAGGACGGGGATGGTGAGCAGGTTGTTGTAGAACATGGCTATCTCAAGTTAGTGTGCGCGCTTAATACTCTCAATCATCTCAATGGGTCTACTCACTGTCCCAGTCCTTGAAGTTCATGTTCTTAATGACCTTGCGCATGCCCAGAACGTACGAAGCAGTGCAGAAAACGTTCAGTCCCATCCAAGCATATCCGGCGTTGAGAGTGGCCAGAGCTTCAGCGGCCTCGGCAGTCTGGCTGGCGTGGCCAAGATCGGCCCAAGCAGCGACGACCGAAGACAGAACCATGAGACCGAAAGAGAGCAGAGCCAAAGGAGTGACGCTGCCACCGAACCAGAGGACCTCACCGTAGGCAATGACGATGATGGTCAAGTTCTTGAAGATGGTGTACACGGGGACGGACAGGAACTGGAGAGCCTTGGTAGACGTATAAATCATACCCACGAGGAGCAGCGACACGGGAAACCATCTCTTGCCCTTATTGACATCAAAGGGGGCCAGGTTCTTGATCATACCCATCTGCTTGCATGCTTCGATGGTGGCAATACAGACAATCGACTGTTGAGCAGTGTTAGTACCAAAGATACGGGATAGTCCTGACTGTCGGCGAGGCAGTTTCTTACCTGAACAGCCAGATAGAACAGATTAAGGTTCCATGACGATCCGGAAACAACGTATTTATTGACGACGGTCATGGAAATGGAGGACAAGCAGTACGCCAGAATGGACAGCGGCGGGCTGTTTTCCACCTTCTGAATGGAGGCCATGTTGAGCTGCGATGAAGTGATCGGCGGGGGAGAAGATATGAATAGCTGCTTTTCTTCTGTGTGTTCGAGGGGTCGCTGAGCGCTTTGCGGACTCTCGGGTTCGTTCTCAGGCAAGCGAATGCTGAGACCTTGATCATTCTTGTCAGACATTTTGGGAAACATGAGGTTACCAAGGAGAGATGGGTAATTACTGGAAGAGCAAAGTCCTGTGCGAGGATTGAAATCGACGCTGGGTTGGTTTTTGACCGGTCGTCGTCGCTTGGTTCAGAGACGGTCGATTGGAGCCGGCCGGCAAAAGTTGTCGTCGGCCGAGAGGCAAACAGACAGGCAAGAGAGCGTAGAGCGAGCGGTTCGGTATCGTCGAGAGAAGGGAACACGAAAGGCGGCACACACGTGAGCGGCAGAAGGTCTAGCAGATGCAATGAAGCACGAGACCAATGTCGCGGGGAGGCTTTGAGGGGGAACGGCGAGCAGGGCAAAGAAAAAATGGTCCTCGCTGTCGCAGGCGTCCGTTGATGAGCTGTGTCCTGTTGTTTGCTGTCGCGGGAAGAAAGTGAACCAAGGGGACAGATTAACGTTTTGGAAGCTTTTTGGGAATTATCAATGGTCAAGACGCGCGCGCACCTAACTTAGCCCCTTTCCGTACCTCGAAAAGCATTCATTAAATGAAGCGGCAGAGGCAGGAATTGAGTCAGGGTGTCCGAAACGGGCTGATCAGCAGTAAAAAAAGATCCATTTACATAGTAGCTAAGTATGTATTTTAGAAACAGTCTGGAACTTGTCCGGGCTTTTGTTGGGGGTTTACGCGGCCCGCGTTAAGAACTTATGCACCTACACCTACCGAGTCGAATAGGTATATATTTTCATTTTGATAACCACAGTGCATTGCCTCTCGAATAGATTTCTAATGACTGATTGTCTCCATCAAGATATTGAACTTTTTCCTTCCTTCAAGGTAAAACATACACCTCTTTGAACCAACAAGAACGAAAGTATTATCAGCACAATGATTCGGACACCGATGCAATCTGACAAGATTCCCTGCCAAGAAAATCGCATTAGCGGACTAAGGCGTATGTGCACTTGTACGGATATGGCTTAGTAGCATAAATCGAGCGTGCTGTGCCGCGTAAAATTAGAAAAAAAGGAAAACTTTCTAAACCTTGACACTTGGGGGGTGTCCCCGACTCGTTTCTTGGGGTGCAAGGGGGCGATGACCGTTTGCTTTCTTTGTCAGACCTGGGGCAAAATAGAACTACGGGACGAAGGGAATCAACACTCGATATGGCAATGCATCGTGTGACTTTTTCCATAAGTGAACCACTTCCCGTCTACGTAATACCCACGAGTCAGTATAAGATGCGTTGCAAATGAGCCGCTCAGTTCTCCCGCTCCAAACCAAAAGATAAGGAATTCATGATTATGATAGGACGTTTTTGGCTATAATACAGACTCGTACGGTCCTGGTCAAAAAAGAAGAGAATATGACAAACTCAAAAACAACTGGCCTAGACATTACCCAAAAATGACAGTCTTCTTGCTAGGCTGCTCCTGGAACAAAGTTGTCTGGGTTCGTGGCTCTGGCAGTCGAGTTCATGTCTGCCATGAAAACCATGCCCAAATGTCTCAAGGGACCCTCCTAAGCTTAAGCCTTCCAGTGACATTTTCCCTCGTCGTAAAACTATGCCGCCCGTGTTGGTTTTGCTTCAATAAGCGAGGTTCCTTGTGAGCCCTCAAGTCATATCCTGGTCACCATCATCGTCTACCTCGCCGTCGTCATCGCCCTCTCTATCTCTGTCGCCACTCTCCGAGGCGACATTGTTGCTGGCATCCTCGCTCGGCGCGTCCGCGGTCACCGGGAAGTTGAGGTGTTTCCAGTCCTCGAGCTCCTCGGTCACGCTCTTGAGACGGTCCCGGATGCTCTCAATGGCGTAGCTGCCCAGCACCAGCCGGAGCGGCGGGTAGGAGCAGTGGCCGAGCTGCCAGACGAGCTCGGCGCACTTGACAGCGCTCGTCGGCTGGCGGTCACCGAGCCACTGCACCATGCGCTTGGCGTGGAGAGCCGGGCTCGTGGCTTGGGCGTAGGCCTCGGACGCCGGTTTGATGAGGAAGTGGCCCCAGGTCGGCAGGGGGTTGTCCTCCGAGTCGGGCTCGTCCCGCCGCACCAGGCCCGGCTCGACCAGCGTCGCCTTGACGTTGAACGAGTCAATCTCGTACAGCATGGCCTCGATGAGGCCCTCGACGGCGTACTTGGTTGCGCAATATGGGCCGAGGCCAGGCACGCCGAGTGCGCCACTGGTTGAACTGAAGATTAGGAAGCGCCCGTTGTTTTGGGAGCGGAAGTACGGCAGAGAGGCCTGGATGATATGTAGAGTCCCCATGAAATTGGTCTCAAACTGGTTCCGGATCTCGTGCTCGTCCTGGTCTTCGCAGGCGCCTATCACTCCATAGCCTGAGCAATTCGCCACAACATCGATCCGGCCAAAGTGCTCTAGACAACGCTCAATGGCCCGGGATACTGATTCCCGGTCGCGGACATCACATAAAAGGCCAAGTGCGTTTGGGCCCGAGTGCTGCTCCGCCATTGCCTCGGGCGCGGTCTCAAATACCCGGCCGACAGCGCAGACGCAATCATTTCTTGCCAGAGCACATTTTACAAGAGAGCGGCCCATATGGCCTGTTCCACCAAAGACCTTGCATAATGTGTCAGATGAAATGCTGGAGAGCACAAGTTTAATAATGGCGATTACTACTCACAATCCATACAAGCTGTTTCCGTGGCGCATTGTCTTGCGGCGGCTCGCAACTCAAAGGTAACGAGAGCTTGGGTCGCGGCCCATCTCTCAAACTCCCTACCTCGGATGATTTTGATTCCATGGCGGCATCTCGACCTGTTTCCATGGAAGTTCCAAGTTGATTCTTTGAAGATTAAAACGAAGTGGACAATCAGAAATCACTGCCTACATGTTGAGGCTTGAAGGGAAAGGAGAATTGAGAGGAGATCGCCAACGCTCGTGCATTGGTTGGTCCTTGTAGTTGCAATAGCCCCGCTTATTTCTTGAGCCCACCGGCTATCACATTAAGGTAACATCCGAGAGAGATCTTCGTAAAATGTCAGGCCGCAACGGAAGCCTAAATAGCAAAGTTTAAAAAAAGAAAATTTTGTATAAAAAAAGGGGTAAAATTATCAATTGATAGCGAGAAATGTTGGCGCACGTAATAGTACTAGATTGATGGCAGGGCTGCGAGACTAACCAAAGGGTGCGGCAGCTTGTAAGCAATGTATAGTTGTGCATGGCCTTTGTGTGACTAGGTATGCACTGATTTAGGGTCTGAAGTATACGATTACGCTGACTGGTATACTGTGCTAACAAGTTTAAGTCGCATTTTTATGTTCATTCATTGTATTTTGCTACTATTCTCAACTCTTTTACCTAGTTCCTGCTGCTGAAGTCAAATACTTGATAAATTTTGCAACCCCTTTCACTCCTCAGCTCAAGAATTCCGAGACATAGCTCTGGCGGTATTGGTTGGAGTTCAGCTCGTTGCTCCTGTTGAGAGGCGTCCACTTGGGTTCGTCCTTGAACAGTCTCATGGCTTGAATGTACTTGATTCCACGTCAGTCAGTCATCACTACCCTCATTTGGTTGGCTGAAACCTACATTGTCGGCATCTGTCGTGAAGCGATGGTAAATACCAGCTGGCAGGACAATGAGGTCGTCCTGCTAACGATTAGCGCTTATCCAATATCCACCGACTACGCAGTGCCTCAAATCGCGATGGACGTCGCCCTCCCCCAAGGACATGCCATGATGCCTCAAATTGTCAGGTTGGTACAAAATTCCAAGAATAACGCACCTTTTCGAGCTGAATGCGAACCCACTCATCGTCGCGCGATCGCACGTCGAAGTAACCCTTGCCGTCGCGAATGTACCGGATCTCCTCGTCCTCGTGCAGGTGCTCATGGAAGAAGGACTTGACCTTTTCCTCGTAGACGTCACCCATCTTCTCGGGGCTCACCGTGATCTGGTCGCGGTTCTTGTAGCCGCGCTCCGCCGCCAGCTTGTCGACGCCCTCGACCTCGGGCAGGCGGTAGTATAAGACGCCCAGCCGCTCCAGCTCCGAGGTCGTCAGGTCGCGACCCGAGTCGTGGGGCAGACGCTGGTCACCCTATGCAAGTTTTTCCAATGTGAGTGACACTGCAGTTCCTGATCTGTCTCACGAGACTTTATAGATGTATATATGTGCTTTCCGCGATCATGAATGTCTTTGCCATGAGACTGTCATGACAGTATCAAAGTCGAACTGCCGGTCTCATATTGCGTGATAGTGGGGTTGATTTGCGCTCACCTCGAGATTATCATACCAGTACGCCCTCATGATGAACAGTGGTTTCAGTGATATTTTACGCTTTTGATAAGAAAGAAGAAGGATAGGTGTGAAATCTGAGAACAGAAAGAGCTATGTACTATCAGAGTTCAAGAAGGTCGCAAAGTGAGATCTGGGGCTTTTTTTTGTTTGTCAATTATTTCAGGCGCAAAGCTGCTAACGATTTAGAAGATCGGCCATGCGTCTTCTTGCCCCGCCAAAAAGTTGCGACTTTTGGCGCACGTGTGACGTCGGGCCCTTGGGTGTGGTGGGGATCTGTCTCATTACAAGCCATTCACTGGCCAAGGTAAAGTCAGCAACTTGCATCCATTCACACACCCCGTCCAAGGAATGTTGACAGGAATAGACACGTTCTAGCGCTTGATGTGCCTTGCAGATGCGCTGACTGTGCTGACCACATATCTAAGAGTTGTAATGGTAGGAAGCTGTTCATGCTCATGATGATCAGGCTGAACACCTGAAACAGTCTTGGCTACTTTGAAGACATGCCCCTCTGCAACGGCCAGTTCATATGCTGTGATGAATCTGTTTATGAGCCATGAATCTATCATCATCTGCATTTATAACAATTCTGTTTGATCAGAAAGAGTTGATAACCACCACGGTGGTCCAATAATACAGAAGCTAGGTTTACTGTACATGTATGACTTCGTGATGACGAAGCCGAAGACCTGTGTTCAGGAGTGCTGAAATCCCCCATGCTCGGTGCCTTCCTAAATGTTTTCTTTCGAACTGTTTTGGGATGTGGCACTTTCATTTCTTTGCGTCATGCCTGGGACAACTGACAAGTAAAAATTTCCACCAAAAACACCTTGAAACGCCGTAAAAATGTTCTGTATGACTATGCAATTCTCAAGCAACAGGGCCCTTATCGTACCTCAGCTGCAGCCAATTCGGGGCCTCCACCCATGGCAAACTCATTCTCAATGGCAGTAGCGTCGTCGTCCCGTCGTTGAGGCCTTGTTTCGAACAACCTGCGCCAGAATCTGGGGGGATCCAGTGGTCTGGAGCCGTTGTGCATGGGAGGGTATACGTCGGAAAAGAAGTACCAAATGTGGCCAATAACCACGCCCATAATCTCGTCCTTGGGTACCGTACCATGCATGACAAGGCTGAATCCCATCAAAACCCACGGCAGGTACGGCGCAGTGAACACCAGAAGACCGAGAAAGCTAAGGCGGGTTTCAGGGTTGCGTCGCGACCAGATGTATACGAGCGTCGACGACAGAGGGTGGCCGAGGAAGGGCATCGATACAAAGGGCGAAAGGACCAGGAGGAAGGCCATCGAGTAGGCGAGAAGCCAAGAGAAGTGCGCCGGGGACGAACCCTCCTCGAGAAGACGGGCGTAACGCTGGAGGAAGTACACGTGGAAGAGAAGGTCTAATGAGAACGGCCCAAAGTATAGGAATGTCGTCAGGAGTCTCCAATACTATAGCAAAGCGACCAAGGTTAGCGAATATATCCAAAGCATTATCGTCTATCAATGGCAGGCTGCGATGCGCTCACCTCTCCCTTTCCAAACACGGTTCGCACGCTGTAGAACAGCTGGAACGGAGTTACCATCTGGCATTGGACCAATGCACTAGTCAAGACCGTCGCCGTTGTCCACCAGCGCGTACAAAGCGGCATTTCCCAAAACCAAGCTTCGAGCGGGTTTCGGCCGCCTTCGCCGGGAATCAACTGATCCATGGTTGCGGTATTCGATTATGGTGGTGAGAGGCGGTTGCGGATAGCTGCGGGCCCAGTAAACTGATGGTGCTATCGAATCGGCCGGGCTTATCGGAGAGTGAAGCGTCAATCTGAATTCAGATGCGAAAGCACTGAATGCTGCTGACCGAATGTCGAATGTTATTGAGACGTAAATGTAGGAAATATGAGGGGTTCGACGTCAAAGAACAGAATTGCAATGACGAATGTTGAAGAATGAATAATAATAATCCGTTGCAGTAGTTGTCCTCATCGATGGATTATCTGGCTTCAACGGTTCGCTAATGAGAAGTGACGACGCCGCGGCCTCAGCTTATTAGTTGGGGGTCGGGCGACCACTGACATGTCCTGGCCCACTTTGAATGCCAATGATTCAAACAAGACTAAAGGCCCCTCGTTACATGCATTTCGAGCCTCAGAGGGGTGCAATTATCCGATATCGGCATCATACCTCCGACTCACCCGTCTAAAGCCTCAATAGGGTGGCTGCATACCAGGACGGGAAGTACCCCACTGTCTGCTGCAAGGCTGAACGCGCTAAGAGCTTCCAAAAGCGGTAAAACGCCAAATGCGCGTAAAGTGCCTGTGGCTTTTGAGAATCAATTAAGTAAATTTTAGTGTACTGACCGGGGGGTGACGCGGTCGCATTTTCGCGTTTCGCGATGCGCCCAGCCACTCAATTAAATTCCTCCCTTTTCCCCATTCCCTCACTAAATCAATTGAAAGCTCTACGAATCCGGTATTTCTTCCAAATCCATCACTGGAATGTGCTCCTAACTTTTTCCTGGTCGCAATTGCCCACAGATTCTATTATATATTCATTGCCTTTCTGCTCACAGCTCAAATGACCTCGCTGGTCTGAAGCGCAATCCCTGTAACGGCATTGGCTGGCTGCTCCCAGAAAAAAAACAGTTCTCTGGGAAAGCTGTGCCTGAGCACCCAATGCTTGTCGCAAAGCTATCGCGTACATAAATGGAGAAAGCAAAAAGACGCTCTTCAGCTGCCACGGGCGGCGCTGGACGAGGGAGAGGCTCGGGAGTTCGACGTAAGTTTCTTCCACGCAGTATTTCGCGCCCTTCCCCCGTGACGCCTCATACTAAAAACCGCTACAGCAGGAGATCCCGTACCAGCCGGCCGAAGAAGAAGATACCGACCTGGAACGCTGGCGCTGCGTGAGATCAGGAAATTGCAGAACAGCACCGATCTGCTCATTCGAAAGCTCCCATTCTCCCGTCTCGTGCGAGAGATTGCCCTTTCTTTCCGGCCGCGAGACGATGGCATGAGATGGCAGTCGCAAGCCATACAAGCACTTCAAGAAGCAGCCGAAGCCTTCCTCGTACACCTTTTCGAGGACACGAATCTATGCGCCATACACGCCAAGCGTGTAACCATTATGCAAAAGGATATTCAGCTTGCCAGGCGTATCCGTGGCGTCTGGGGTGGCATTGGCTAAGACTCGCCATTTCCTGTGCTACTGGGGACCCGGAGCGCAGGAGATGATCTAGGGAGACTAGGGAGTGTGCAACGACTCATTGAGACGGTGTACACATATTGTCGTTATTTTGTTTTCAAGTACAAGCATAGTGTCGCATGCATGTATCGGGAGGGGTTCAGCCGGCGTTCAGGATGGGAAAAGCTGTGCCTTTGCGTATTGATGCAGGCCAGCTGGTTGTGTCGCTTTTTATTCACTGATACCAGAGTATGTGTAACTCCATTTGGCCTTTTCAACGAAGGAGCTTTCTTGCCGGATGGTAATCTGTGTCAAGATTAGTAGTAGAAGTAATACTTCTCTCGTTCAAGTCTTGCAGTGCATGGAATACGCATATTAATACACGCAATCCACAAGGTTTTATCTCAATTTATCAATCAATGGTCAGAGCTGCCCACTAAACTGGGAAAGCAATATACAAATCTACCCGAGGTTCTCTCTTTATAAGCTTAAAGTCGGAAACGGTGGTGCATCAAGAGCTAGATTCCGCCCTGAGCCTTGGGTCCCGTCCCGCTCCCATAATCGGAGTACCCCAAGTTCCAATTATGTGCATGGTGGGCGGCCCGCCCAATAGAATCCCCGTCTGACGTCAACGTGCCAATGCTCTATTACCCAAAAGGATCACCCATGCTGGAGCTTTCGGTAAGGTATCCTCCTAAATCCATCGTAAGGAGTTGAATGACAAAGCGCTTGTCTCCTCTGTCTCTCCATTTCTCTCGTGTCACATTCAGGGTCAATTGCAGAGAAGGGAAAAACTCCGACCCCGTCATTCCTTTTTCTCCTAAACCATCTCTGCTTGTCAAGTGAACTTGGATTGTCAGCGAAACGACCCCTCCAAATTACCCACCACATATACAGAAGCGTCTACTCTCCCTTTCCACCCGGACCCCCCAAATAACAATGTCAGCACTCCTACTTTCGCGGACTGCCTTTCGCAGCCGGGCAGTCGGCGCCGGCATTGGTCTTTCCATTGGCTCCGTTCTCGCTTATAGACAGCCGCGTCTGCGCATGGATTCTCGCTCCGTGCCTCATCCCTCGACGCGGGAGGCTGCCACCACCACGCCGCCCAAGGACCGTCTCGACCCTGAAATCATTAAGCAGTTGTCCGGCGGAAGCATCACAGGTAAGGATTAAAGATCTCTACAACTAATCACGTGACGATATATGCAGTATACGGCGACGACAGACTGACACGTTTCTTTAGGATTCCTGAGTGGCCTTGTGATATCCGTGTTTTCAAAGACGCTGGTACTCCTATTGGGAGTTTCTGTTGTTTTGGTTCAGGTAGGCTATATCTCAAATACTCATCTGCCCTTTGTACTAAACATGATACAGGTGGCTGCAAGATACGGCATTGATCTCACCAAGCAATTACGCTTGAGGGAACGACTAGGAAACTCGCGCGTCTTGGCAGCCTTGGAAAAGGACCCAGCATTCAAGTTGTCCTTTGGATTCTTCTTCGCCATGTCGGCATTTATGAAGTTTCAAAATTTGTAACCATAGTGCAATACTATTCAGCCATGCTGCAATATCGACGCAGACGTCAACCTACAACTAGACCTAATAAACCGTATCAAGCCGATGTTGGATGACTATTGGGGGATTCTGAACCAGTGTACTAGTAGTGTCCCGTTTCTCTTTCGAGCCATAACTTTGACAAGTCATCTTGGAGAAGTGGGCCAACCTTCTTGGAGACCTCGTCATTGTAGTCGTTGAGCCACTTCTTCTCAGCGGGCGTAAGTAGATTCGTGTCAACCAGCTTGCGGCAGTATGGTACCATAGTTACATGCTCAAATGTGAACCAGGGCTTGTCACCAAACGAGTGTTTCGTTTCCGCCTTCTTGACCATGATGATATTCTCGATGCGGATACCAAACTTTCCATCTTCGTAGAAGCCAGGTTCGTTCGATATGACGTTGCCTTCGGCCAGGGCAACTTCCGAGTACTGAATTCTTGTACCAATGCCGACGGGTCCTTCGTGTACATTCAGGTATGAGCCAACTCCGTGGCCGGTTCCATGTCGGTAATCAAGTCCTTGTTGCTATTCGCTCATGTTAGTACGGCAGGCCAAGCGGCGTGAGGTTAAATCCATACCCAAAGATGTTGACGAGCCAGGGCATCAATTGCGAATCCTGTAGTTCCCTTTGGGAAAATTGCCATATCCAATGCAATATGACCCTTCAGAACAAGAGTGTATGCTTCAATCTCATCTGCAGTTGGAGTGCCAAAATGCAGAGTCCTGGTAGTGTCTGTGGTGCCATCCAGATACTGAGCTCCCGAGTCGCAAAGGTAGACTGCGTCAGGATCAATGACGGAGCAAGCGCCAGGCTCTGGCTTGTAATGAATAACGGCAGCACTGATCATGATTAGCATGAGAAAAAGAGATACGAAGCTCCCCAAGTACTCACTTTGCGCCAGTCGAGGAAATGGTGTCAAAAGACAAACCAGCAAATCGTTCCTTCTTGGCACGGAATGCCTCCAGCTGGTCTGCTGCTTGAACCTCGTCAATGGTTGCCTTCTGGTTGATGAGCTGATCCTCAAGCCAGGCAAAGTACTCAACCAAGGCGGCACCGTCACGAACGTGGCACTGTCTCATTCCTTCCAACTCGGCGGCATTCTTCACGGCCTTGTGGTCCTCGATCGGGCTGCGGATTTCCTCGACCAAGTCATCGCCACCTAAAGCGAGCTTCAGTGCCCACGACGCCTTTGTAGATATCAAGTATTTCTTAGAATCGCCAGAGGCTTGAGCATTGGTTGCCTTGGCGGACTGGCCGAGGGTTGTGGCATCCTCGAATATGGCATTGTAGGGCTTGATGTCGACATTGTTCGCAGCTAGGTAGGATTGACAGTCTTGGCTGAGCTTGGACGCATCCACATAAAGTGTGGCCTTGTCAGCTGTGACAATGGCATATGAGAAGAAGACTGGGTTATATGGGATATCACTGCCTCGGAGGTTGAATAACCATGCAACCTCGTCGAGCATGGATACCACAAAACCAAGCAGTTTCTTTTTTTCCAGCTCAGTGCGTAACTCGTCCAGTTTGGATTTGACATCTTTTCCGGCGTACTTTTGATCCAAAACAATGACTGGCTCGTTGGGCCGACTTGGCTTGCCCTGCGCCCAAACACGGTCAACAAGATTGTCGGTCACGGCTACAAGATCCTTGCCCCCGTTCTTCTTGATCTTGTCGGCCAGCTTCTTTGCGTATCCGCTAGTCAGCAATGTCGGGTCGACAGCGACAACCTTGCCGCCTTCGGACTGCTCGACTGCCCATTCTTGCCAGGTGGGGACGTCTTGAATCCCCTGCTTCAAGAGGAGCCAGTTCTTGTCAAGTTGTTTCTCGGCCTGGTTAAAGTACCGGCCATCGGTAGCCAGTGCAGCCTTGTCCAAGGTGACGACTGCGACTCCCGCCGAGCCAGTGAAGCCAGAGATGAAAGCTCGTCTTGCATCACATGGAGCAATGTATTCTGACGAGTGGCTGTCTTCCGATGGGACAACTTTGACAGCATAGGTCAGCTGTCGTCCCTAGAGACATCCGAATTGAGGTATATTGGCCATCTTACTGTACACATCTACATTTTTCTCTTGCATGAGCTTTCGAAGCTCGGCGAGCCGGCTCGAGGTGTCCACCTTCTCCATGTCGAGTATAGGAACGCTGTATAGGCGATGCGGGTTACGGACGACGACAGAGGGTCTGAACGCAGTGATGATGCTCGCGGGACGATGCGCAAAGTGGTGGCGAGGCGCAGCGACAAGAGGGCGTATTAATCGGGGGGTTATTGTTGACAAGGCCGATGGTGGCCGAAGATATCGCATGGGAAAAAAGGTGCGGAGGGTCTCGCGGGAATTTGCCGTTTCCCTCTAAATAGCCTTTCTATGGTGTATGTACAACAGCAACTTCACCTGTGGAGGGAATGAGGAAGGTGACACGCGAGCGCGTCTAACCGATCAACCTGGTTGTCCTTGGAGGTGGCGAGGCAAACGTTGCCTCTTTTGTACAAGCCAAGTCAAGACTCAAAAGACTAGAGAATAAAATATACAGTCTATAAAAATAAAATGTGTTGTTCTTGCGACTGCAGTATGGACGACTCAAGCAGAGAGATGCGCAACAAGATGGATACAATATGTATGAGGTTATAGAGTTAATTGGAGGAAAGACCCCTCCGAGGTACGCTATTAGCCCCATCAATGCAGCAACTGACATGCGAAGAAACTGTAGCTCAAAAGTATGTATCCACTACTTCTAACACTATTTGAGTCGTGGGCAGATAATGAGGGACCGGTGTTAGTGGGCTAAGTAAAAGCAACCTCAATTACCCCTCCATCGACTGCCAAAGCTCCAGTTCTGCCATGTGGGCTTTTTAGAGCTACCACGTTCCAAAAGAAATCAAACTTCATGGGCGCACGCCTTGAACCGTTCTAGAGTCTCACGTCGCACGATATCGCAAGCTGGTCTGAAGAGCCTTGTTGCTGTTTGGGCATTGTTTGTCTTGCTGTGTCTGACCTCCCACAGCAACAGTCAAGATATCCCGAGCTTCAGAAGGCTCATCGTCGCAAAAGATTGGTGATTGCTTCAAACAGCCCGCCAGTGACTGCATCTTGTCGCGCTTACACCGAGAGCCAAGCCCAGTCTCTGGCTGAAACTGTGCATCGTCAAGTTAGAGGCAGTCAACGTACTTTCTCTGCTGTCAGACGACTGATGTGTTCGTTTCGGTTCCGATAAGAATGGACTTTGTTTCTCCACGCAAACGCAACCATGGATCCAATCCCTACTCCTAGTAACCTCGATGAGGTCGAACACGTCAGTACATCTCACCTCATAAAAAACCTCAAATGAAGTATAGTCTGACAACTAAACAGCTGGTCAATAGACTCTATGAGCAAAATGCATCCTCGACGATAGCTCAAATCCAAGAGGTCCTGCAAAAACTCCAAAAATCACCCGAAGGCTGGCAAATTGCTGAAGGTTTACTTTCCCGTCAAGCCGACAATGTCAGGTTTTTTGGTGCCTTGACCTTCATAGTCAAGTTGAATACCGATACACTCGAGGACGAAGATGCCCGTTCAGCCCTGATTAAGCTCATCGACTGGCTACTGAAATGTTTGGAGGTCGGCGCTGGAGCCATTGTTATCAGAAAGCTCTGTTCGGCCCTCGTCACCCACTTTATCCATTTTTCCCATGTATGGCCCTTGTGTCTACGTCACGTACTGCTCTGCCTACAGAACAACCAAAGTGATTTCGCCCGACTCCAAGGCCCCGTTCAAGATGCGGTTGCGAGGTTGACACCACAGAAGTCTGTGGCGCTTGTTTGGTTTGCCACAGCGCTGGCAGAGGAGGCGGAAAAGACTGATCCCAAGTCTACCAAATACATCAGCCTGCATGAGCGAATGCTGAGAAATGCAGGAGATCTCTCATCACTGCTGACGTGCCTGGTTGTTGGTCAGTCTGATACCCAGACCAAACAAGAGTCTATACGCTGCTTCCAAGCATGGCTACTGTACGCTCAGCGAGTCCCCAATGAGGAAATGACATCAAATCTGCGGCCAATGCTTCAGCCCACGATCAAGTGTATTGTAGACACTGATTTGTACGAACCGGCCATCGAGGTGCTCACAGACACCCTTGGGAACTGGCAGACCTTCTGCAAGCAAGATGATTACGACTTATTGTATTCCCTGTTCGAGAGTTCATGGTCGCAGGAGAAGTACCAGAACTTGCTCCAAGGTGACTTTGATTTCGACTCTGTCCAATTCGGTCTGCTCATGGTCGCCTTTGGTGATGCTCAAATCACCGAGCTTATGGACAAGTCCAACCCAAGATCACAGCAGTATCTAGCCGCGATCGTAGGCTTGCTCACGGCAGATGGCCACCCTGTTGCCGAGGACAAAATATTTGTACCGGCGCTCGAGTTTTGGTCCCAGTTTGTCGAGAATATGGTGGATAATATGTACTCAGAGCCGCAAGAAAGCGTAGATTGGAATGTTCCTCCCCTGTCGTACTTGACACAGGTCGTATCCCATTGCTGGAAGAAGATACAATATCCGGCCCTGGATGTGTACAATTCATGGGACTCCACGGAGCGTGTTGGGTTTGGTGACGCCCGTAAGGACGTATCTGACCTTCTGCAGTCTGTCTTCACCATTTCCGGACAACCACTCATATCCTTATTTGTGGACTTGACATTGCAGGGAGTTTCTGCAACCGCATGGGCTGAACTTGAAGCTGCTGCCTTCTGTCTAGGCTCTCTTTCCGATTGCGTCTCAGATTCTACCAGCTGTGATGAAATTCTAAGCAAGGTGTTTGGCTCTCAGCTTTTTGATCTCCTCCGCCAAGGCCATTCCGTGGTGCCCGTGAGAGCCAGACAAACCTGCCTGTCTTTGATTGAAAGATATTCGGACTACTTTGCACGCCACTCCGAGTACCTCCCGGCTGCGCTGAACCTCTTGTTCAGTGCCGTGGGTGATCTACCATTGGCAGGTCCCTCATCCAAATCCATATATAAGCTGTGCTCATCCTGCCGATCAGTGCTCACGTCCGAAGTTGATGCTTTCCTTGGCCAATATGAATCTCTCAGAAACAGTCAGACCTTGGATTCATTGGCGGAAGAGCGAATCGTTGGGGCTATTGCATCAATCATTCAAGCTTTACCTGAGGATGGATCCCGAGCACACGCTTTTAGCCGGCTCCTCGTGCTTGTTGCTGTGGATGTAGAGAAGGCTTTGCAACTCAAAAGCTACAATGCAGAGCTGGACCCGAATGACCCGGCGGTCGCTCGAGCATTCGATGCGGCTCAACGCCCAGCAGCTCCCGTTACGGCATATGAAGTCGCGCTGCAAATCGCCATCAGAGCACTTCGATGCCTTTTGGGGAGCGCTAAAGGCCTTCAATCTCCAACAGAATCATATGTCGATCTTGATGACGAGCAAACTTCATCTTTGCCTTCTTCCTCTTCGCCAGAACTTGCGCAGATACAGCAGGATATTATTGGAATCTTGGCCCGTCTTAAGGACGAGTTCGGCAATAGCACCGAAGTCTTAGTAAGCCTATTTGAGATTATCGCCATTGTCATGGTCCTTGAGCAAAGCTAACATGATCGTGTTTAGGACGTAATCTGTTCGATTCTGAAGGCGGGGTTCTCAGAAACGGATGCCGGACCTTTCGTATTTCCGCCACAGACCGTAGTGGAGTTCATCACAAGTTCATGGAATCACCGCGTGGCCTCCGCTATTAGTACAGCCTGTGTCTTTGTAACATCTCTTTCCAATGGGTCCAGCAAGTCACAGGTTCCGCAGATCATTGCTCACTTGCTCCCGTGGGTTGTTGGACTCTTGTATCAGCTTCAAGGTATACCTCCCTGCATATCCCCAACGAACTCATGTACGATCACTACTGACGTGAATAGAACCTGAAAACGAGCCCGAATTAGCTCAGTATGGTATAGAGTTTTCCCAGAAAGCAATGACCAAAGCACCGGATGTCTTTCTCCAGCTCCAACCTACAAGCTTACTGGAGTATTTGTTCATGTTCGCAATTAAATTACTAAATGGGAACGAACCTCTACCGAAGGCCGCAGCGGCAGAATTTTGGGTACGTTGTTTGACCACTGATCAGCCTTCCTTCAACTGACTTGTTACAGACCACATTTATTACACTCAAGTCGCCCACCGAGGATACGCAAGCAGGAATCAACAGTGCCATTGTACATCTGGGGCCTATCCTGGCGCATACGCTCATTCAGAACATTGGAGGCAAAGCCGCTCGGAGTGAACTCGATAAGCTTAGCGATCCACTCAAGAAACTCGTCGTCCAACATGCGCATGCCAAGCAATGGTTAGAGACTGCCCTAAACGATGCCTCGTTCCCTAGTGATAAGGTTTCACATGATGAGAAAGCTCTGTTCTTGAAGAAAGTCATTAGGTAAGTGCTTCCATAGATGTGGTCAAGCAAAAATACAGGGGCGGAATGCTGACATGGAGTCCAGTCTGAGAGGAGGCCGGGCGACGAACCAAGTTGTCCGAGAGTTTTGGCTCGCTTGTCGAGGATCGAACTTCGCATATACATCTTGAAAAAACATCATGAGCATTTGATTTCAGCGCTGGGTTTAGCATGGTGGATACACAAAAATACAGGAGCGATAGATATTTTTTTGAGACGAGCCGTAGTAATGACATGATCGACAGATCTCTTGTAATCGTTGCGAATGGGTATGGCGGTGAAGACCAAATTAAATGAAAGCCACAGCAACTGAGATTCCATTTTTGACAATCCCAGCTAGACAAGATAATGCAGTATTTGTTTGTAACACAGAGACGGACGATGAAAGTGCCAATGACGGAATTTAACTGTTTTTTTTTTGTCTTTATTGAGTGGAATTTATTCTCCAGGTATAATCATATTTCTAGTGTTGTAGATCTAAAGTCATGCCTGGTAAGCTCCCCGGCATGCTCATCTGCCCAACGCTGTCCATTCTGCTCCTTCTGCGGTACCGCAAGTTGCCTGCTTCGGGAACTAGATCCGGTCGACTGCCGATTTCAGATTCAACCTCCTTTCTTGCTTCTTCCCGCAGGTCCCGACCGAGCTCCCGGCCTTTGCCCTTGCCAATGCTCGCCATGTTCCCGTCGAGCCCGTCGTCTCCGCCGCGCGTGTTCTTCTTTCGTGGCCACAGGCTGGGCAGTGCAATCTCTTGGAACCTGGGCTCGACGCATCTGTCATCGAACCACTTGTGCAGTCTCGCTTCAATGAGCTGAGCAATCTTGGGCACATCTTGCAGCCTGGACCGGCTACCCACCAAGCTGCGGATCGACAGATCCAGCCGATAGTCGTCCAGAAAATTGAACGCCATCATGGTGGGAGTCGACTGCGAAGGGTTGCTAGGGATGAAGGAGATGCACAGAGTACCGCTAAAGCGCACCACGCTGACGGCCAAGGCGACGGGGAGCACGGCGGTCAGCCGCTTGGGGTAATTCAGCAGGATTTTGGTCTCGAGAGCGAGGGTGATCATGTCGCTGAGGTCCACGTCCATGCGGGCCTGCAGCCGGGCTCCTTCCCGCGTGGCCCGCGAGCTGTTGGGGTCGAAGCGCTTGCCTACGCCGGGCCCCGAGTCCATGCTCAGGCCATCCTCGTCGACGGGTATGATGCGGCAGTTGCTCAGAATGGGAAAGTCCTCGCCCAGCGTCAGCTCCGTGACCTTGATCTCGTCGAGGAAGTCGGGGCGGCTTGTCCCATTCAAGGCCTTGGTCAACGACGTGAGGATGGCGTCGTCATATTGCGCGTCGCTGCGGAACTGCGCAATGGTCTGGGCAATCAGGACGTTGAACCAGTCCAGCGACTCGGGCTGGTGGCTGTCCACATTGTAATACGTCTTGTTCAGGATTGAGCCAATGGTCAGCGTAGGTGGGTTTCGCAGTATGCTCGACTTCTTCTTGTTCAGTGTCCGCTGAGGCTCTCTGGGGTTGTCGGTCCGGAGGGTAAGTAGGGATTGCTTGTGCGCCAGGGAGCGCTCCCGTCGCTCAGTCGCTCGTATTTGGGCCGTGACCTCTGGCGAGGGAGGATCGCCGAATATGAAAAATTTTATAAATGCTGCTATGAGAAGGACGACCGAGAGCTGGCCGACTATAAGGCCTTGAGTAAATGACAATCTATACAGCAGCCGTCAGTCATTAGTGTGGTCGAGTGTGTGGTTGGTGGGGGGGTTTTTTGGCAGAAGCATACGTAGGCTCTGGCTTTGTCGAGCACATGTCCATGGCAGCCATTTTAAAGGGCGGCGACTGACGTAGGCGCCAGTCAACAGATTGATTGATTGCCGTATGGGGCTTGTCTTAGCAAGACCTCATGGTGAATTTGTTATGGTATGTTGGAGTATCGCTCGTGTGTAATGACGAGAGTTGAAGCTGTAGCTAACGTAGGTACGTAGGTATTCTACACTACTACTTACAATTTCCAGAGCTGGCTGCTGCTTATCGTTATCGCCGGTGTGTGACGTGACGTCTTCTGTAGCTGAGGCAGGGGTTTCAGTAATTAGAGTACGCCAACAAGGGGCCCAGCGACGTTATGCAGCGCCATCCCTGACTCCCTAGAGCAGCCAATTGGCACGGGCCTCGACCGCTGACGACTGCCTACCTGGAGCTGGAGGTAACGCTGTGCCGCCCCAGCGCCAATCAATGTTGCCGTGTCGAGTCTACCTAAACGTACAAACCGTCTTCCTGTTAACACGACACAAAAGAAACACGTGATCCTGTCTTCACACATCTGTCCGTCTGTGCAGGGGAACTTGCGCAAATCTGCCAGAAGTCCCTGGGATGATGATGGCGTGGTCTACCTGATTCGACCTACACACACACACACAGCCAAACTACTAAATCCGGGGCGTCTACAGCAACATCACGAACTTCCCATCAGCCAATATGGATGTGGTTCAAGCCGTCTCCGGCTACATCAGCAAGATGGTGTCGGCCGGAGACAGCGCCACGGCGGGCGCATCCGCAAAGATGAAGATCCTCTTGTTGGATAAGGACACCGTCTCTATTGTCTCCACCGCCATCACACAGTCGTCACTACTCAACCACGAGGTCTATCTCATCGACCGCCTCGACAACCAGAGCAGGGAGAAGATGCGCCATCTTAGGTGCCTCTGCTTCGTGAGGCCATCCGCGGACTCTATCCAGTTCCTGATTGACGAGCTGCGAGAGCCCAAGTACGGCGAGTACTACCTGTACTTTAGCAACGTGGTCAAGAAGTCGGCACTGGAGCGCTTGGCCGAAGCCGATGATCATGAGGTGGTCAAGGCCGTACAGGAGCATTTTGCCGACTTTTTGGTCATCAACCCAGATTTGTTCACGCTCAACTTGACACTGCCACAACAGCGGATATGGAGCGGAAGTCCAGACATGTGGAACACCGACTCTCTCCAGAGGACCACTGAAGGTTTGATGGCCGTACTCCTATCATTGAAGAAGAAACCCCTCATAAGATATGAGAAAAACAGTTTGTTGGCCAAGAAATTGGCCACAGAAGTCAGATACAACATAACACAAGAAGAGCAGCTCTTTGATTTCCGAAAGGTTGACACTCCGCCAATATTGCTCATATTGGATAGGCGAGAGGACCCAGCCACGCCACTCCTGCATCAATGGACGTACCAGGCAATGGTACACCACCTATTGGGTATCAACAATGGACGTGTTGATCTCGGAGACGTCCCAGAGATCCGCCCTGAGCTCAAAGAGATTGTCCTTTCAGCCGACCAAGATCCCTTCTTCAAGAAGAACATGTATCTCAACTTTGGTGACCTAGGCGGTAACATCAAGGACTATGTGGAGCAATACCAGTCAAAGACAAAGAACAATGCAAACATTGAGTCCATCACGGACATGAAGCGCTTCATTGAGGAATACCCCGAGTTCCGAAAACTGTCTGGAAACGTTAGCAAGCATGTCACTCTAGTCTCTGAGCTGAGTCGGAGGGTTGGTTCAGAGAACTTGCTGGAAGTCAGCGAGGTCGAGCAGAGCCTAGCATGCAATGATAATCATGCCACAGATCTCAAGGTATGCAATGGGAATAATTATAGTCGTTGTAACATATATGACTAACATTTTTACAGAACGTTCAGAAGTTGATTCAAAACATACAAGTCTCGGAAGATGCAAAAGTAGGTCTGGTAGCGCTCTATGCTCTTCGATACGAGAAAAATCCTTCGAATCAACTGCCCATGCTGGTGGACCTTTTGACAGCAGCAGGCGGTGTTTCGCCGCGAAGAGCAGACCTGGTGGCAAAACTCCTGATATATCATGGTTCCCTTCAACAAACCCAAGCTGCCGGTGGAATCACAGATATATTTGAGCCCGGTGGCATTTTCTCGGGAGCCCGCGGCATCAAAGGCCTCAAGGGAGTCGAAAACGTCTACACGCAACACTCGCCTCATCTAGAGACTACGCTACAGAACATGATCAAGGGGAGATTACGAGAACAACAGTACCCGTTTGTCGAGGGCGGCGGGACTACGAGAGACAAGCCCCAAGATATTGTGGTGTTTATAATAGGAGGTGCAACTTACGAAGAGGCAAAGATGGTGGCGGGCATCAATGCTTCTTCTCCGGGTGTTCGAGTAGTTCTAGGTGGCACTGCGATACATAATGCTGCAACCTTTTTGGAAGAAGTGGATGATGCTGTGTCATCTTGGCCGGAACCTCCTCCTACAACGGTTGCTGGAAGGCTGCGAAAGGAGATAGGTAGAAGGTGATGATCTATATACGCATATATTTAATTCAACAAATAATGATGATAGCAGCGATGAACTGAAGATATGAACCATTTGTACTTCCCGTCTTATCCAAACATATTGCATTGGTGTAAGCAGGGTCAAATAAATGACGGTATTTTATATGAAGGGCAAGTCAATAGGGGGCATAGTTGGGTACCTATTAGGTAAGGGAGGCACTATATAAAGCACACCGCTTACCTCTAATAAATATGCGCTTACCGCCTGCCGAATAGCGTCCGCTATTATGGCCGGCATAAAATAAATCTAATCGAGAACTTCTGATCTACAATCAACCGCGAGGCCGTGGCGATAACAGTGGTCGCGGCGCGCAAGTTAGCTCCCAACTCCTGCCGCCTCGCTTGTATCGATCGCGATCCACGATGCAAAAGGTGTGGGCGCCGCGAGGCCTGAGTAGGCCTACAATTATTGCCCGAAGGCGATTTTTTCTCCGGCGCAAGGGATTCGCCTCAGTCGCGCAAGACGCCAGGTATGCAAAAAAAAGACACCCTTTCCTTCTTGCCGAGCACCAGCACCACGACACTTTATGCGAAACGTGCTCGCTGACGTGAGAAATTAAAATCTGCAGGGCATTTGATGTCGTCGTCGTAGGAGGAGGCCACGCCGGCACCGAGGCCTGCGCCGCCGCCGCCCGGTCCGGCGCCCGTACCGCGCTCATCACGCCCAAGCTCGACAACCTGGGCGTCTGCTCCTGCAACCCCTCCTTTGGCGGTATCGGCAAGGGCACCATCCTGCGCGAGATTGACGCCCTCGATGGCGTCGCTGGCCGTATCATTGACAAGGCCGGTGTCCAGTTCAAAGTTCTAAACCGGAAGAAGGGCCCCGCGGTTTGGGGGCCCCGCGCGCAGATTGACCGCGCTCTCTACAAGAAGCACATGCGTGAAGAGCTCGAGGCATACCCAAACCTCAGCATTATACCCGGCAGTGTCAGCGATATCGTGGTTGGCGCAGATTCGGACCCGGCGAGCGGAAAGCCCAGGAGTAAGATCACGGGCGTGAGGTTGGAATCGGGAGAGGTTCTGCCCACTACGCAGATCATCATTACAACAGGAACGTTCCTGGGCGGTGAAATACATATTGGCCTGGAAAAATACCCAGCCGGGAGGATAGGCGAACAAGCGACCTTTGGACTGAGCAAATCGCTCAAGGAGACCGGATTTCAGCTTGGCAGATTAAAGACTGGAACGCCGCCGCGGTTGGCCAAGGGCAGCATCAATTACGGTATCCTGGAGGAGCAAAGAGGAGACGATCCACCAAATCCGTTCAGTTATCTCAACGAAGCAGTTTCGGTACAAGACCAACTCTTGTGCTGGGCTACATACACAAACGATGCGACGCACGACGTGGTACGCGCAAACCTAGATAAGACGATACATATTCGCGAGAGCGTCAGGGGCCCACGATACTGCCCTTCACTTGAATCCAAGATTATCAAATTTCCCGAGAAGCCGCGCCATATAGTCTGGCTCGAACCCGAAGGCTTTGACAGCGACCTCATCTACCCCAACGGCCTATCCATGACAGTTCCGGCCGATGCACAGGAGCAACTGCTGCGCACTATTCCGGGCCTCGAGAATGTTGAGATGGTGCAGCCAGGCTATGGGGTAGAATACGACTACGTGGATCCGCGCAGTCTAAAGTCCTCACTTGAAACCAAAGCCATCTCTGGTCTCTACCTCGCTGGCCAGATCAACGGAACGACGGGCTATGAAGAGGCAGCAGGCCAAGGTGTCATTGCAGGTATCAATGCCGGTCGTGCCGCGCAGGGCAAAGCTCCAATCTCGCTGACACGTGCCGATGGGTACATTGGCGTCATGATTGATGATCTCATCACCAAGGGCGTCTCGGAGCCGTACCGCATGTTCACCAGTCGATCCGAGTACCGCATGTCACATCGCGCCGACAATGCAGACCTGCGCCTCACCGAGATGGGCCGCGAATGGGGTGTGGTGAGCGACAAGCGCTGGTCTCACTTCCGTGACACCAAGGCCGAGGCGGAAGAGCTGACTGCTACGCTCCAAAATTACTCGCTCACGGCCCCAAACTGGATAGCTGCGGGCTTCAAGGCGAGACTAGACACGAAACCCCGCTCTGCTCTAGAGATTCTACGGCTCGCGGGCGTCAAGCTCTCTGATTTGCGCGAACGGCTCCCCGAAATCGACAATTACTCGGCACACATCCAGTCTCGGGTGGCCATTGAGGCCGTCTACGCGCCGTACGTCGCCATGCAAAAGACGGAGCAGGCGCTCTTTACCAGGGATGAGTCTCTTCAGCTGCCCGTGGATCTGGACTATGATAGCATCTTCGGGCTGTCGTTTCACGAAAAGGCCGTGCTCAACGCCACGCGGCCGGAAAGCCTGGGCCAAGCCAGACGAATCGAAGGTATGACGCCAGCTGGCTGCGTAAGGCTGCTCGGCTTCGTCACTCGAAGCGAAAAATTCAAGGAGGTCATGCAGGGGCGCGACGAGATGGCGCCTCTGGGTAAGGAGGTTGACACTTTGGATGCCGAGGCTAGGAGCAGTGAGCTGCCGTAGACATGCCAAGACTACGGCCACTCATCCCCGGATATTGTGTAAGATAAAGAATGTATATACAAGTACAGCCTGTCTCGACGCAAGGCTTGTAATCATATAAGAGGCGGGCTAGCATATACGACATTGTTCATCAGCGTAATGATACCATTTAGACATTTACACTCGGATCTCACTATCTCATAGATTCGATCCAGGGCCTTGTTTACGATACTGGATGTTTGTATCAAAGCTAGCTAGGACAGTAACTTTCATGGAAATGTATAGCGAAGACAATCACAACAACACGTTGCTCACAGAGAGGCTCAAACAAACAACGGGGAGAGTAACATGAATGCAAGTGCTGGTCTATCGCTCGGTTCAAAAGTGTTGTTGCCAACAATATTCTCGAGCCTGTCGATAAATCTACGTGTCATAGTTCCTTAAAGTCTGAACAAATTTGATAAGACTTCTAACGTCTTTTACACTTACTATTCAGTGTTCGAGATGTAAGAGACACGAAGCTGGAAAGAGACAGTATAGGAATGTCGAGTAGAGCCTCATATCTCAAGCACGGCAAGACAGGATCACGAGGGTTTTTTTTGTCCTGCTTCTCGACATATGGGTAAGAGCAAAGCCCAGGCATCATGATGGTCCTTGTACGGAGTCTAGCTTTTCCTTCCTCAAGGATCACGGATTCCTTCACGTTTCCCCTGCCGATATCGCGTAGGCCCCGGATCGGATCTGGCCTACTGTCCCGGAAGAACGCCTCGGTGGGCAAAATCACAGACGCTGGCGGTAGGGAGGGGGCACATATCAATGCCACTTCTTATGCCCGATTGATCGGTGGGTGGCTGTGCCGGACAATCTGCCTACAGTACTGACCGACAGGCACGACTAGTACCCCTGAGAAAGGATTTACATGAACCGAAGATTGTCCTTCTCTCTTCAATGGACATAACCCAAAGGAAACACCTTATAGCAAATGCACCATCCGGTTGGTGGTGGGCATGAAGAAAAAAGAAGCCGGCAGGTTGGAATGTCGGACCGGTGCTGGGCTGCCTATCTACTGCCTGCTTAAATCGATGCACAGAGATAACTTGAATTCTATTGTACAGGTACGTGTTATCCGCGATCATCTGCCCTTGGGAATATTTCTCTCTCCCAACAGGGGGGCCAAAAAAAAAAGGAAAGAAAAACCGTAACGTACTTGTAATCTTCCTGTAAGCGAGCCTAAGAAAACGGGAAAAGTAGAAGAAAAACAAAGAGCACGAGTATGGCATGAGCGAAGATCAAAAGCCGCCTGGTTGTCTGGACCCCTTCTCTCTCTCTCTC